AAGTGATAAAATTTTATAGTTGTATTTTAGGTAGACATCTAAAAGTGCCCATTTGTTAGTAGAAACTTTTTGGCTTACATATAATATAAGTTTAATATTATTTTCTTTGAGTAAAAATCTGTTCCACATGACCAAAAGACTAAAAGTTAGACAGGGATTAAGCCTAGTCTTGGATTACAGCATTCTAAATGGAGTTTCTCCATTAAAAGGAAAAATGTAGTCCAGGACTAGTCTTAATATAGTCTAGGACTAGGATTAAAGGGAAAAATGTGCTCTTTGGAAATGTGGTTTGATCAATTGAAAATCAAATTTGTGCACAGATATGATCGAGAAACATGGACCAAATTAAAAAAAATCAGATTTGGGCATTAAAAAATTAACATTCAAAATTCAGTATTCTTTATTTCCGCACATCAATGTAATTGCATTTGGACTGAGCACAGTCAAAATACAATACTGTGTGTGTGATGATATTATATGACACAAACAATAAATAAGGTAAACAATGAAGTGCCATACAACCAAAACGTGCTAAATAGGAAGATACCAATGCTAACTGAAGAAATGTAACATAATAACAGCTAATTTACTATTGTCTGGGTGGGTAATATTGCAGTATATAATATTGCACTTTAAAAGTGAAAGAATCAGCAGTATACAGCAAACACAAAAGCCACTGGAATCACCTGTGGCATCACTATGAATTATTCCTGTTATTTTAGTCAATAATATCTTATACATTGTAGACTTACAGTGACTTACACTAGACACCAGAAGACACTAAAGGTCATCAATAAGTCATTAAATAATGAATAATATACTGTAATTGCCATAGTAGTTATGATAACTTTTTTGCCTGAACTTTAATTGGCTTTTCAAATATGAGACACTGTGTATGTTAATTTTATTATAACTTTATTTTCAATGATATACAGCTTTCTCAGTCATTAAGAAACCATCTACACCCCTGTTCATCATTTTGAACACATCTAACATTTCATATTCAACATATTCACATATATATATATATGTATAGTTGATGTCAAAACAAAACCTTGTATCTCGATTTTTGTCGTTTTTTCTGTTTTTGACATAATTTTTTGACATATCTGTTGCCCTTTACATTGACATCATATTTTACATCATATTGACTATTTTAAAACCTTTACACAAGTGAAGGTCTTTTAAACAAAATTTCAAGCACAATTCTTGCTATATTAGCAATTAAGACACAAAAAGGATGCAGTAAACCACATATAAATTTTAACACACTGACCCAAACATATTTAACATGACTAATTTGAAGTTGAATTTGTGACTGACCAAACACAACACTGCAATTCCTTCTCTTTGATTTGCAAAAAGATATTAATATAACATACTTCCCTTCCACAAACAGGGGGGGCATATTTGCATTTCTCTGTTCTTTCACCCGTACTGCCTGTACTGCTGCTTGTAAATTTAGATGAACCCCTTAAAAATCCATGACCTGGCAAACTTTTATTAGATGCCTCGATAACTAAAGAATAACTCAGTGAGTTTGCATTGTTATACATGTAGTTACATAATAATAAGTCTTCAAATGTAACAAGTAAGGATGTTTTTTTGAGATCTTAGTGTACAATCATCATAAATCTCCTAAAAAGCTGCTGTTTTTAATATCTACAAGGTTTCCTCAGGGCACTGATGGCGATATGAGATACACAGTACAGTGTAATCAAATCTGGCCCATTGATCCTGTGTGTAATGAAGTGAGCTAATATTGAGGTGAGGATGTTTAGATTGGACTGGGATTATCTGTTCTGATTACCCAGCTAATACAATAACACTCACCAAGATCAAATGATGTGTTAATGGCAGTATCATACATTCTCTCTTATTGATTCTTATGTCTTACCCACTTACAGTGGTAATTACGTATCAGTAGAGTGTTATTATAAGGGTTGCTATTAAACACAGAGGTCTTGAAGACACTTAAATTGACGAAAGGCATTTTCGTTTAGCATTTACCACTGGAAGCACAACAACTAGCAATAAACAATAAATAAGAAGCCTATGCTCATAAGGGTACTTCATGCTAGCAATTATCAAAGCTTATGAATCCTTTTGTTGAATATAAACACATAAGAATGCTTTTCTTTCTCTTATGAAATAAACAATTTGGACATACTAGGTTTTCTCGTGATGGTGATGCTATGTGGGTTAGAATATAAATAGTCTATTCACAGCGATCTCGCTTTCTGCAGTTGCAGATCAGTTATTATCGACATGTTTGATGGTGCCAGACACTCTTGCTGTGAGCTACAGCAATTACACACACACAGTGTGCGAACGCACTGGAAGGCAGGCTGAGAGAGAGTGCTGACTAAAGCTAATTCAGCCCTATTGAAGGCTGCATATCAGTGTATGCAGAATTGTTAATTGATGTGCACAATCTGTGGTTTAAACCACTGTGAATCATGTGAAACAGAAAAAAACACATTCATTCACTGTATTCAGGTTTCAGGAAGAAAGATTTATTTTCATTTAAAGCTACATTTTACATTTTCTACCTTGAATATATGTCAAAAGTCACAATATAAACGTGTGCATGCTGGCATTCATACATAAATACACATACACTTGTTTTTCATACAATGTAAGGACATGTCCTGTATGTAAATATATAAATACATAAATATTTATATGTAATAATAACAGACACCTTATCTATTATGTATGTAAGTATATTATATGTATGTAAGTACCTTACATCTATATATATGTATAAGGTTGTATATGTATAGATATCACCCATTTATCAGTTCCACTTACCATTTAGTTGCACTTTGTAGCTCTACAATTACAGACTGTAGTCCACCTGTTTCTTTGAATAATTTGCTATTTCATCTTTACCCAGTTCATCAATTGTCAGGACCCCTACAAGACCCTCAGAGCAGGTATTATTTGAGTGGTGGATCATGCACCACTACCCAAACAATACCTGCTCTGTGGTGGTCCTGTAGGGGTCTTGATTCTTGATGTGGGATAATGTGGGATAACAAATTCTGATGTGAAATTCCAAATTTTGCAGAGAAACACACAGACTATAATCTGATAATACATAAATGTAATAAAAATATGCCCCATAATGCACATTTTCTAACCTTAATGTTCACTTCAGTTACCAGAAATAAAGTAAAATATAAAATATTACATTAGGTTAGCCCTGTCTTTCTCTGTTTCCCACAAAGTCAGTACATTTTATCCTGAAAAAATGCATGAGAACTAGCATTTCATATCCACTGCATTCTCCTCACCCCTGGTCAGAGCCTGTGTGTGTGTGGGCTGCTTTAGTATCAGCATAAGAAGCTGTGTGCTGTTGAACTCACCCAGGACTCCTCCTCTCTTCTAAGCCCTTTGCTTATCAACTCACATTTCTCTAAATAGACATTTCCAGCTCTTCACACAAACAGGAGAGTACTTGCAAGGAATATTCTCTGCCACAAACTTGTAATACAATAAAATAGGCAGTTTCTTGCAGTTATAAACATATCCTCGCTGTCATAACAAAACATTCTGACTTTTTTCCAAGCTGCCCTTTATGATATCTGAACATTTACCGATGAATGGACCAATAGGAATGGTCCAAAAGTACCTGGGAAAAAAGTCTTGTTGTGTTAATGTACATAATGTTTTTTTTTCCTTTGCAAGCTTTTGTTACCACAGCGACAATATGTAGTCAAGTTTATTTATAAAGCACATTTAGCCAAAGCGACAAAGAATGAAGAACAACGATGATTAAGTTCATATGAGAATGAAGCTGTAGTGCTTTGTGAATACTATATTGGTAGACTGCCTTATCAAATGTAATACAGAGTGACTGGTGAATAGAGAGCCTGTTCACAGATCCTGAGCTATCATTAATGGATTTCTAACCTATCAGTCATTAGTTTTATAGTAGTTACTGAACAACTCATAGTAGTATGGGAATTATAAGTTAATCTGGCTATAAAGTCTAGCAGAAATATGTATCCAGTAGTGCCCTGAGTGGTCCACTGATTTTTCAAATGTTCTGCATGATTTCGTGGTTAAAATATAAACAAAGACATGTGAAATGCTCCATTCTAGAGAAGCTTACTGAGCCAGAATTGTTCACAGTGGTGGTGATAGGAACCAGATGTCTGAAGAATTTAATGCCTCTAAAAGCTCCATCACAGGAGGTTATTATATGAAATTGTTATGAATACACTGTCTGACACCTGAGACTGTTTTGTGAAAATTCTGAGATAAGATGTTGGTCTAAAGCATTTTTAACAATATATTCATGATGGAGGGGCACATGCAGGGTGTTTTGAGGCATAATATTCTACAAAATTATTTATACAGATTTACGACTACTATACCATCATCAACATTACAATATACAAAAAAATATTTGTATAACAAAAAAATATACAAAATTACATGTAGGTTCACTGTTAGTTTTGTAGAGTGAATAAAATAGCTATATTTATGTTGTTGACACTCCTGGTTCCTATCACAAAGAAATGAATTACAATGAAACATTACACATAAAACCACTCTGAATGACTTTGTTTACATCTCCAGCGAATCATGCAGAAATTTTAAAAGATGAGTGGAATTGCCCTTCAAGTCTAAAAATGTCTTTTCCACTGTATAATGTGTAAAAGTAGATAAAAATGCATTTGGCATTTTAAATGCATCAGTTTTGGGATCATAATTGAGTTTAATAATATTTAATAAATTAGTGCTCAAAATAAGAAGGCTGTTTCACACGAAATATTGCTTTTAAGTTTAAATAGATCTTTATTTATGTCTCCAGTTGGCTTTAAAAACTACTCGTATAAAATCTCAGCCTTATAAAATAAGAGTGTTGTGAAATTTGTGATCTGATGTTGCATTGAATTGTTTGCTAGGATCCTAATGATAATTGACCTGAACGATTTTAACCTGGCTGTATATGATCTGTGTGTGATTGGTGTGGTTTTATGTTGCAGGCAGTGAGAAGGCTCGCTGTGTGTTGCTGACAGCGGAGAATGGCCTGTTCCCTGGAGCTGCAGTCAGACCCTCACACAGCCCACCGGTGAGTCTAATGTTCATGCATCTGCAAACTGCCATCTGTCACTAGCGCATGCAGGTTTACACTCTGCACATTTATGCAAAACGCTCCCCTGCTTTTGTTCTTCTTTTAAGGGAGTGTTTAACATTTGAATAGCTGGTGCATCACAAATTATTACAAACGCTCAGAGTTTATAGGCTTAAACCGGTAGAATTAATGCACTTATCTATAGTTCCAGTTCTAAAACCTGATTCACATTTAAAACTATCTGAATGTACACATATGACCATAATGTGCCAGGTGATTAAAAACATATCAATTTAAATAAAGTAAATACAATATTACTAATATTTAGACACTACGCCTGCTGTACATTAAAACTGGAACTTTATCAACATAGCTGAAAATGTCCTGATTAATATCTATAACCATCCTAATCATTAAGAAATCTTGCTGTTCACGGAATAATCATTGGTTTTTGCATTGCTTGGCAACCAACTTACAATAAGTCTACTCTTGCTTGGTGGCAGAACTGATCAATCCTCGCTCCACCCACAAATACACTCTTTCGTAGTAACTGTGGCAAGATTTGACAAGCTTTACAACACGCTGGCAGAAAGTTAATTCAGGCTAATTCAGCTTGGCTTAAATTTACAATATAATGCTGAGTTTTTTAGTTTGCTACGTTACTAAGCTGGACTATGTGCCTGTAGTTAATCAAGCTAGCCAGGTTGACAACAACAAAGAATCTCTGGGCAGAGCATAGATAAATCTATTCTTCATTGCAATTATAGACCTAGAAGATCTGTTGTTATATACCTAGGCTAAAAGGGAACTGATCCACAAAAATAATCTATCTTTAATCGGGCCCAGTCTCGGTGCTGGGGGGCTGGGGGGTTGGGGGGTTGGGGCATGAATAGACTTAACCTGCCCTGAGAAGATTCCACACTCACCCAGGCCTGTCAGAGAGGTGACAGAAGAGAATACATTGCTTAGAATATATACAAAGATGGTATTCTGTTAATCGTAGCCCTCCAATCACAGCTTAACAACCATTTCTATCCACCACTACCCTAGTTAATCTTTCAGTCCGTTGATATATTTTGAATTTGAAGCTTTATACGTGGTCAAAAGATGTGCCCGAAAGATGTGTAAAAATGAGACCCAATACACTATGTGTGTTTTCTACTCATTTCTAAAGCAAAATCCAAATAGAAAAGCTTGTTGGTGTTAAGAAAAACATTGTGTTGTTGTTATCAGTGTATTATGAATTTGCTGCTTAAAATGCTCTTTGACTAAAATAGCTTTAAAGGTTATGTCAAAGCAAATTTCTATTTCTGCACATCAAGTCATCAAAGGTAAGATATAAATAGTAAATAAATGTAAACTTTTTTGATGCCTGCCGTGGCAGTATGCTTTAGCTTAGGATGCTTAACTGTTTAGGCTTTAAAGTTGCTGGCGGTGTTTGTGCTCAACTCTGTAGTGTATGTTACATCCCAGCTGTTTGATTTTAATTCAGTTATGTGGTCTGCATGGGGGTTAAGTTGTGTTGTCAGAAGGCAGATGCGTGCTTTAGTGAGGTTGGTTGGGTTCATGTGAAGCCTGGATTCTTGTCAATGTGTTCACAGTCTTGTTATCGTATTGCAGCCTTATATTAGGTAGAGTGATGAGTGCACTGCTGTCAGAAATAGGCCACAGCCTGATGTCAAGACATTGCAGGACATAGCATGTTTGGAAAATACAAAATGTTTCTCAAAAAAAATAATAAAAAATGTTCAATAGATAGCCTGTCTGACAAAGTTGTTCTGGTGCTAGAGCTGTTTTTGACACATATACCGTAAAGAATAGCTAATATCAGCAGTAAACAAGATGCTACCATGAACGTACATGAAGGTGAACTGATAACATCTCTTTGGAATGTTGAAATGTTAGTTTTGATTTGGTAAGTGATCTTCTGTTTTGTTTCTTGTTGGTCAGCTGTAGCCACTTTGTGTCTTGCACTTCTTCAAAGATCGCTACAACAAAAACATCTGCCAAATCCATCTAGTGATGGAGCAGGACTTTAATGGTTTGTTTGCATCTGGACAGTGTTCCCTGCGCTTGCTTCCTACACTATTAGACTACAATTATTATAACTTCATTGTGTTCCTCAGATGATTAGTGATATAATCATGCCTTGTCTGTTCAACCGATACATTCTGCTACTGAATAACGCTATTGCATGTGACATGCGACAGCTCGGCTTGTTTTCAGGGTTTGGGCCATTAGTCCTGTATAAGAGTAGGCCAACTGTGAGACATTATGCTATTTTCCCAGTAGCATTACAATTTCAGATTACAAAATGAAGCATTTAAAGTAAACATGAAAAAAATGAGCAGGACTTTCAATGGGATTCAAGCAAAAACAGGCTGAAGGCCACTCTCTATGCTGTACGTATATAATCTTTCATATATACAGCACTGTGCAAAAGTCAGATGGCCAAAGAGTACAAGTTATTCATTTTTCAAGAGATATTTCTAATGAGATTAGATACAAGACTATCCACTTGCTTCAGATTATCTTTAAAAAAATCACCACAGGTGTTTCTGTCCATCCTTCCACTGTGAGAAGACAACTCAGCACAATGGGTCTGAAAGGATGTGTAGCTGTCAAGAAGCGCTTACTGAGAAAAGGAAATAGACATAAAAGAAGGCCTCGACATCACTGAATGTGTTTAGGATTACTCAGATAAAGAGAAGCAGAAAATAAACCCATCGTCTAAGACTGAACTTTAGATCCCTGCAGATTTCTTTGAAAAACTGAAATTGAGTCTCCTGAAAAGAATAGAAGCTGCAACAAAGGTGAAGTATGCACATACTAAATACTGCAAAAGTTGACAGTATATTTAGTTTTTAAGGCTTCTGATTGATTTTTCGCTGGAAATTTGATAAAGAAAGGGTGGATCTCTGGCTTTACACAGTACTATACACGAAAAAAGACTGTCGCTAGGGCAGTACCCCTCAATTTCAGTTTTTCAAAGAAATCTGCGGTGGTACCCTCAAGGGTATATCTCAGTACCTTTAGTCAGGGAACATAATTGGGCCATAATCCATTGAAGTTAGATTTTCTAAGTTGTATTGACTCCACACACCCCGTCTCATCTCCAGGCTTTTTATTTTATTGTTCTGTTTTAATACACACTTCTCACCTGGGAAAAACTTATTTAGAATACACAATCAGACCTTAAAACACTGTTGTACCTTTAAGAGTACATTTGCGCTGTTTGTGCCTTGATGGATGAAAAACGTACCTGCACAGCACCTTTATTTCTAACAGTGTAGGTTGTTTGAGATTTCCCTCACATTTTCAGAGTAAGATTAATCTGATAGACAACAAGGACATCTGCTCATAGCCTTCTTTATCACATCATTTCAGAGGGCACTGTAGTGTAATACGAGAGGGCAATCTGCCCAAGCTGAGCTGTGAATGCTCTGCAATATAGTCAAGAGCCAGAGAGAGAGAGAGAGAGAGAGAGAGAGAGAGAGAGAGAGAGATAGAGAACCCAACACATGGAAGAAGGCATGTAAACAGTTTCTGGAAGCAATAAATCTCCTGTCATGTCGCCAGAGCTCCTTGTGTATTTGTGGATGCCATCACACAAAAACATTCTCCACATGCCTTCAAGTTTCTGAAACTTTTCCCTTTTTTCAGGTGGTCCTGCGCCTCTGGTAGATCAATTGTTCTAGACACCGTGTGCTAGTGTGCGTTTGTCATTGTCCGGCAAAAACAACAGAAAATGCCTCCAGCGTCCACTATTGACTCCCCACCACGCGCGTTTCGGCCGGTTCCTATTTGGTAGTCTGTGGACAAAGGCAGGATGGTGGCGGGAGGGGTGATGTGGAGGGGAAGGGAGGGGGTGCAGGGGATTGTTGCGCAGCTGAATAGAGAACTGTAACCTGAGCGAAACGCCGCGCGCGCTGTCTCTGATCAGTTCCTGACCGCCCTAGAACGCGAGAGAAACCTCCAGGACTGGGCCGCACCGCCCGCTCATTCATTATTCAGCTGTGTTGTGCTGCTCTGTTACTGTGCTGTGCAGCGGGACGGGGCAGGAGGAGAGGTGCACGCGCGCGCGTGAACGAGCTAGAGACGCCCCCAATGTCACCCCGGACAGATCGGCTGCTGCACCAGAGCGCAACAGCTCCACAGAGACTTTCCACAGACAGCGGCTGCTTTTAAGGCGCGAGGCGTCGTGCGTGATCGAGACTCTTTACGCACCGGGTCTTCGCCGGAGAACGCATCGCTGCTGCCGACAGCCGAGGAATCGCATCGGGAGAGGCGCTCGATGCCGCGCGCTGGACCGAGGTAACCACCGCCGGCTTTGCATACTCAGCTCGAGCGGTACGTGAGCTCAGGTGATAACGATTAAAGGAGGCGTAAAGAGCGTTAAAGGAGGCGTATATTCCTCCAACGGGCGTTAGCACGAACGTGGACTGACATTTGAGGCTTTTTTTGGCAGATTAGTGAGTGCACTGAAGAGCCTGCTTTTCCAAAGAGGTCAGCAGCGTTGTGGGCAGACTGCAGAGGCTTTTTTGCTTTCTCTTGCAGCACTGCACTGTGCCTGGTGACCTCCGTTATGAATGCATATGAACTTGAACGTGCACGTCAAGCTTTCAAAGTTAATGACCTGTGCGTTGGACATATAGATTTGCAAGGGCTGGATTGCAGTATGTCATTAATACAATACTGATCCACATTTAAACTGAGTTAAATATCTTATTACTGCCATTATGACATATGTAGGCTGCACAGTTCCTCTATTAGACTTCAATCATTTTTAATGCCTACATTTTTTCTAATACATGGCTGACCACTATAATATGTGGCAAACTTTGATGATGCTGATAGTACGTGTTGTCAACATCTCAATTAACCTGCCCTCACTGCACAAGTACTCAAAGACTGGCTGCTTGAGAAGTCTATATTCAGTACGTCCCATTGGGCTGTGTGCAAATGTGAGTTTGCTGAGTGCATTAGCTGAAGGGACA